CGGCGTGACAGGGCAGTGCTGCTGTAGGAGGGTTTGGGTGTTGCAGCGGTGAGGGGGCCCTTCTGTGACCTCCTCTCGCAGCGTTTCTCAACGCGTGGGTCGCAACCCAAAGCAGGGGCGCAAGAATATATTAAATGGTTGTGAACAAGCTTTAAAAATGGATCGGTCAATTTTAAAAATGGATTTTCCTTTAAAGGGGAAGGACGTGGGAAACTGGCTTTTCCCCTGCCGGCTGGCAGAGCTGCAGCCTGTGAGGGGCTGCTTGGAACAAACACTGGGGGCGGGGGGCAGCAGGCCAGGAGTGAGGGGCATCAGGACTGGCCACTCAGGTTAACAAATGGGTCCTGGTGCAAAAAAGGCTGAGAACCAGTCTCATTGAACTGGCTGTATTTTAGGGCAGAAGTTGGGCCAGCTTCAGATCTAGAAAAGAAGGTCTGTACCCCCCCCTCAGTCTTCAGGTGGTCTCTGTGCTCTTTGGGGCACAGGTAGAAGTGACAGTTTTTGCCTGATTTGGCCCCAGAAAGCGCTCTACAGCCATAACCAAATGGAAGTGCACAGCTGCAGATCACTTTAAAAGGACCCACGACAGTCTGAACCCTCACTGCATGAGGGGTGAGGGTCAGATGAACCCTGTTGCATGATGGTTCAAATGAACATGCTCCAAATCAGAGTATGTTGTATAACTTGTGTCTGCAAAGCTTCCAGCCTGTCCCTGTTTTCAGAATGGGAGTGGGGAGAGGGAGCAGAGGGAGCCTGGTCGGGGTTTTTTTCAGCAGGCATTTTGGGATGGGGTGGGTGGATTGGAGCTGGGAAACCCGAGTTCCCTCTGCTCCCTTCTCTTTCTTCCTCCCTCTTCCCCCCCACCTTCTGAAAACAGCCTCTAGGCGGGGAGGGGGGAGTGGCATTGCTACAGAAGCTGGGCTGCAGGTCTGCAGCACACAACTGGAGTCCCAACTCCTGGGTCCAGGACACAACAGTAAACTTCTCTTGGGTCCGGAGGATCCTTGCAACTCAAAGTGCTTCCTTGCAAAGCACTATGAGTTGCAGTGGGGAGCTGCTCTTTTGCCTGCACCCTAGAAATGTGGTCAAAGCTTAGCAGAGAGCTGTTGGACGTACAGTGGGGATCTACAGAAATGTTAGTGTTTTCTAACTGCAGAAATTTGAGGCACTAATTGCTCTCTTGTATTTCCCAGCACCATGCTGCGACTACCTGCTGTCCACAGGGCCCTAGCTGGTGTCACTCAGTCCAGCAAAGGATGTGGTGAGTTTGCCTTTATTTTATACATTTACGTACACTGATACACTGTGTTTAAAGAAAGCATTGAATGTTTGGACTGTTATATTATGTGTAGAGGGGCTTCATATGCATCACTGAGTTTTAGAGAATGATCTTCTAGCTGTGGCTGTTTCAGATCATTCCAGTTGTTTAACTATGAATTATTTTTGTTTCTGATAATCCTTTAAGCTCTTCATGCTTTGATTTCAGTCTTCCTGGAGGACAGAATTTCATAGTGTTCAATCCAACACTCCACTTGTTTTTGTTTATCAGTGATGACATTTCCATCCAAGTCTTACAGTGGATCTGTTTTCTTCTTGACTGGACCAATTGCTTGCTTGATGCTTTCGTACGTTTTGTGGCTATCGCCTGCGTCAACTGCTTTCTGAATATGATCAGTGCTTCAGCCAAAAATCTGGGGCACACCGTTTAGCCTCTTTTTGCATTTCTCTTGGAGCCTTTCTCAAAGTTTCCAGGGTTATGGTTTGGGAGATGACTTGCAGATGGTTAGTGCTGTCCTTTTGTTTCCAACCAGTGATAGAAGCGTTTCAGAGTGCTCTTAAAACTAGTCTGCATTTTACCTAGCATTTCCTCCCCCCCACAATGCTGTTATAGCAGCATTGTACATGTTAGTTTTTAAGCTTCCACAAGCCTTGGTGGATGAGTTGTTAGGTAAACTTGTTTTCACAACTTCTTCATTGAATAGTTTGCATCTTTAGTTTGGCTGATTATCAATCTGAGGATGACTTGCTACAGTGGATCTTTTTAGCATTGATTCTGACTTAACATTGACCATACCTTAGTCTGCTGCTATAGTCAGTGATGTGTTAAGACCTTGCGTGCAGGATTTCTTAGGTGGTTGTGCCTGGTTAGTACTAGATCTAGTTGGTGCCAGTGGGCAGTGATCCTGATCTTGGATGTTTCCATGATGTCTGTCTTGTGGGTAGACATCATAAGTAGGTGTTGGTAATATGTAGTAGGTGTTGGTGACATGTAGATCTTGACTTGCACTGGGTCCTAATGCTTGCTGGCCACTTTCATTCATGTTTCCTTCCATGTTAGCCCAGAATACCAGGTCAGTTCTCAAAACTGCATTCAACTCTTGCACTAAAATCACCAAATATTATAATGGCCTTGTTTCTATGAGTTTTTTCTCAATTTCCAAGTTGTTGGTAGAACATGTTCCTGTCTTCATCACTAGCTTGAAGAGTAGGCACATAGACACTAAACAACATAACAAAGCCGTTCTGTGCGTGTGCTCTGACCGTGATGATGAATTAAATAGATGTAGCAATGGGGGTTACCACAGTTTGATGGGTCTGGACAGTGAACCTATATTAGAAGATTTATAGAAAGCCATTAAATCGACTCCTGGGAACTAGAGATCCAGCAATGACCGTTTGCCTGCTGAAATCTTAAACTGTGCCAGTGACAAATTACTTCAAAAGCTCCATGAACTTATGCTGCTCTGTTGGAAAGAGGAAGCAGTATCACAAGATTTCAGAGATGCTCAGTTTGTACAATTATACAAAAACAAGGAGGACAGAAGCAACCCAGTTGAACATCATCAGCAAAGTTGTCACTCGCATTATGCTACTTGATCTATTATCAGCAG